ATTTCTTAAATTTTCAACACAGTCTCCAATATGGCGTCTTCCACGACTTCTTTTTCCGTCTCAAGACAGCTAACCCAGGAAGCTTAGCGGTCACATGCCCAGACGTCATGTTCAATATTAACACCAGGAAAGTAGACGACGAGTCTTATGTTGAACTTGCTAAGAAATGGGATATCAAGAAATGGGTAGAGTCARATGGTCAAGTAAGGTGGTACGGCTGTAGACGTGGGTACCGGCACAATCAGGGGACATCTAAATGTAGTTTAACCAAAGGTCTTGGTAACCCACCTTGTGAACTCGAGAATCTTGCTGATGCTATCAAATTTATCATGAGAGAGTGCGAAAAAGCAGGCTTGTTTTGTGAATTACAAGAAGGGACGCTACTAGGTAAGATATCTCTCTTGGTCCTTCATCTATTTTGGTAAATATTCCGTGACATAGGAAAAGAATAACTAGGAAAGAGAAAAGAATGTCGCCCTCAGCCCTCCCCAATCTAACATGCACACTTTGACTTGGAACGGATTATTTTTAATCAGGTTCTTATTTCATCTATACTAGGTGCTGTCAAATTTAACAAAGTCCTTCCCTGGGAGAGAGACGCCGATATAACATTTCTGACAGCAAACTATACCGCATTCAAGAATCTCATGAGACCAAAGCTTATCGAACAGGTGAGATGTATGACTTGATCAGGAACAGTAGAACTGGAGGTCTAGGTTATTTGTGGGCCAGATATCTTGTGCGCATTCTGCCTATTTTTCCCCATGAGCACATTGGCGTCTCAGTTAAGGTTGTTCTCCTTACCAGGGCGTCATGTCTCTCTAGCTTCTTTCCGTCCTAAAGAGAAGGCTAGGTTTCAAGAAAACTCCGCACAAAAAGAAGGCCCTACTTTCATCGTTGTCTGTAGGCCGCGCGCGTTGCGTGCATTTGTTAAATCTGTCTAATATATTGTGTAGTGCGTAGCGCCTACTACACGTTAGTTTTAGGGATAAGATCAACACGATTGTTTAGAGGGGAGCGGTGGGGGTACTCGGTACCTACCACTTCTGGAAGTGTAGTCCTGGATTTTGACTAAAACAGTAATTCAAATCGTGGAATTGCATGTACTGTCCCTCTGCATGTAAGCTAAACGACGTATTTATGCAAGCGAATATGAAGTCGGAAACTAAACATTTTCCGCTCGAATTGAAGTCACTACAACTCTGACCAATCAGGAATGGCATGCTAAAAATAGCTCAGGCTTGCTTGCGGAGCTAAAAATAGATTTWAAAAAAACGTTCATGGTTAGTGACCCATGTATGGGAGATGTGCTCACTTAATTCATATTCTCTTGATTTATGTAAATATTCACTACAAACACCCAGTATCGAGCATATCAAAGGGTCTCAGACGGAAGAGGAGATATTTACCTGTATTCACCAATTAAATCGATAAAATGGAGTCCCTATTTTGGACTACTGTTTTTTCCTTGTCCCTCGTTTTGTTAGTTGAAGTTGTAGACACAATACTAGTCATTTATACTTGTACGTCTAGGGCTATTCTTTGACGACCTATGATACGTCTGTGCGGTGCTGTTTGGAAGGGAGGCAGACTGGTGGCCAATTTCTGATCGGTACGCCTAGTTTTACTATAGAAATGTATGGACAATACATGATGGAATCAGAAATACTAGCAGCTAGAGGACAGCCATCCACCAAGGTACAACACCATATAATAATAATAATAATGATGATGATGATGATGATGATGATGATGATGATAATGATAATTTTATTTCATATTTTGCCTTACATTTACAATTGTAAATCTCACTACAAATAGGTAATTTACAACTGAATACTTCAATTGAAGACACACAAATAATAATAATAATAATAATAATAATAATGATAATACTATTATTGTTATTATTATTATTATTATAAATATAATATTCATTTCACAATACTAAACCTAAAATGATATCAATAATCTTTAAAGAAAATTCTAAATATAGTATATCTCAATCATGATTTATCAAGATAATCAAAATCATTTTTATAGCACAAAATACATTAGATATATATGATCTCTGAACATACATAACCCAGCACAATGACAAAACCCAGCTGCGCGCAATCGATTTGGAAATGAATTCAGGGGAGAATCAGTAGGATTCTGAGTTAGCGGTAGACACCAGAAACAATTGTAAATCTTATATTTTCCGAGGCTTATTTCTCATAAATTCTGAACAGGAAGGGAGAGCACAGGTACCCCAGGAACCTCGCCCCCTGGATCCGCTTCAGGAGCCTATAAAATATCTGTAGATGGCTTTGTCCAATTGGTTTGCTGTTAGTCTGTTTTTGACGGTTTTTGACGGTTTTTGATGTAGACCCTGTAACAGCATAATAAGTAAAACATAATGTTTTTGAACGTTTCTTTCTAGATCAATTTCGCCGGAGAGTGGGTGAATGTGGTTCGTAACCCAGGGTTGTACGCACGTAACCGATATGGTCCTAATCACTTTAGGCATGCTGAGCACTGGAGGGATGCAGGGTCTGCCACAGGATGGGTATTCTATAGACCATCACACTTCACTAAGTGTCCTACTCCTGGTCATTCTGCATGTTTGGATCAGTATCCAGCTGATGGCAACATACAGTTCAGTGATTACACTACACTATAGTCTTGTTGTCATGGTTACTCTCAGGGTTACTATAGCCTTGTTGTCGTGGTTACTCTCAGGTTTACCATAGCCTTGTTGTCATGGTCACTCTCAGAGTTACCAAATCCTTGTTGTCGTGGTTACTCTCAGAGCTACCATAGCCTTGTTGTTATGGTTACTCTCAGGGTTACCATAGCCTTGTTGTCATGGTTACCGTCATGTATCTATGTTACTGATATAAACCTAAAGGAAGAAATACTTCACTTGGACTACCTGTGATGAAATTTCTGACAAGTTACAGAAAAAAAAATTTTTTTTTGTTCGACACCGTTTGAGAGGATGCCCGACGCAAGCGGTATAAGCTCACGAACTTCTCGAGATTTTCTCACGATTATTTAATTTGAATTGTTCGAAGGATATTCGGAGGGAAGAGCCTGCGTTTTTAACTCAGCGGCACAAAGCCCATGCGCTTAAGAGACCAAAGACCGATTTCTACCACCATAAATCAAACTGCTGCATGGCAAACTCGTTGATACCCTCTGAATCCTACTTGCAATCTTAAGTAATTGGATTCCCTGTGTTCTTCCCGCTAAAAAGAGCGTTGCGTTATGCATATTAAATATACGTCATATCTTGACATTGATGTGGCATGTGAAAAACTATTTACTTGGATTACACTGTAAAATAGGCGTCGGAATATTTGTTTAGAAATTTTTTTCGACTTTTCTTCATTTAAATCTGTTTCTTGATAAGACTGATAGACCAATAAATCCTAAGAATATTGTGAATGCCGTAAAATAATTATTTTAGTTCATTTTCATAAAGATACTTAAACATTCTTTTTTTTTTTGTTGTTTCTCACTTATATTCATTTATAGTATTCTCCTCTAGTTTATACGTTTATATTTTTTATTTTATCTAATCTGATGCAACATGCATTTATCTTTTCTTGATTCTTTTAATATAAATAATCCGAAGGTACAGCTATGTTCGAGTGTGAGCCTTGCCCACATGGATAAATAGCATTCCAGCTTCTTGTATAACAAGTTTAGGACTGCTAATTTGATTCCAATCCATAAAAGTGTGTCAGATCTTATTGTAAACAATTATAGACCTATATCTCTTTTATCTGTTTTTAGCCGTATTTTAGAAAAGCTGATGTTTTCCAGACTTTTCTACAATTTACTGACAATAATAAAATATTGTATAATAAGCAATTTGGTTATTTGACAAAACCACACTACATTCCATTCCATTATATCTATTACAGACTTGGTTCAAAAAGTAATTGATGACGGTACTTACTCGTGTGATTTATATCTTGACCTAAGTAAAGCTTTTGATGTAGTCAATCATAATATCTTACTAAAAAAACTCTATCATTATGGCCTGAGAGATAATGTGTGTGATTGGTTTACCTCCTACTTCAGAGGGAGAAGCCAATATGTATCTATTGGGAATACTGACTCAGTCATCATGAACATTACAACAGGCGTGCCTCAGGGGTCTGTTCTTGGCCCAATCTTCTTCTTACCGTATCATTAATGACTTTCATTAATGACGTCTATTGAGGCTTAATTAAATATACAAAATCGAACTGGTTCATAGCAGTGTTTCAAAAACATCATTATTTTACTCATGGTTTACATGAAAGCTATTTTAAATTTGTATTTTCAAAATGGCCAGCATTTAGTATTACTAGTTACAACAAAAACACTCAAATACCTTACCTGACGTCATCATCATTAGCATATTGGAAGCATAAACCTTCATAACTTAGARACGCATCACTCAAATCAAGAAATATTTTACCATTCAACTATTTACTTTATGCAGAACCAGTACTGAATGTATTGTCGAAGGGTTCATTTGCACTTTAATAAACATTTCTTTCTCGAGTTTCGTTTTCCCGCGAGCGTGGAAAAAGGGTGAAGTAGTCCCACACCTAAAAGAGGGCGACCACGAGGTGGCAAATAACGACTGCCCCATCTCGCTACTATCGGTCTTTTCTACGTTAGCGAAGAGGATTGCCATGCACCAGTTAAAAGACCATCTCATGTCGCACAAGAGATTGACAAGACACCAAAGTGGAAACAAAACCTTTTAATCTACTGAAACGTTGAGTTTATTAGTAACGAATGACGTCTTCAGAGGTATGGATAGCAGGTCTTTGCCATTCCACCTTACTCAACAAACTTCAGATGCTTGGCACCTCAGAGTCGTTACTCCTCTGGTTCACGAGTTACCTGTCAGACAGACAGCAGTGTACTCGTATTGGAACATCACTGTCGGATCCCCTCACAATAACGCATGGGGTACCTCAGGGATCCATATTAGGCCCAATGTTATTTACACTCTACATGAATGACCTCCTTACGGTGATCAGGTTTAGTAACATCGAGTCTTGTAGTCTCGTGTGGACAGCACCAAGATCTATCTATAGTGTGCGTCTAAGGATCTCCACTCTTGTCTACAACAAGTCACAGAGGATCTCACCTGCTTATAAACCCTGATAAAACTAAATTAGTGCTTTTTGGAACACGTCAACTTACATCTAAGCTACCCGACATTACCCGGTAGGTACAACAGCTGATCCCTGTCCCATTCGTCAAAGATCTGGGTGTTATCCTGGACTCGGGCTTAATATCATTCAATAATCACATTTCATCATTATCGTAATCCTTGCTATCTGGTTTGTGTCAAATAAATAGGGTTCGCCATCTGTTTTCCAAAGAAGTTTTGCATATAATGATAAATTCCCTTGTTTTTAGTAAGTTATTTTATTGTTCTGCTGTATGGTCTGGTACTTACAAACAGAACATCCATAAACTACAACTTATGCAGAACTTTTCCGCCCGAACAAATACGACCACATCTCCCCGACCTTGAAAGCTCTTGGCTGGCTAACTATAGAAGAGCAACTTCACTTGCGGGAGGTCTTAATGATGTACAAATGTATGAATAATTTAGTGCCAGTAAATATTAGCTGTAAGATATGGAAGCGGTCCGATGCTCACACTTACGTAATAGCGAGGACCTTAATGTGCCAAAATGCCGGACAGCTACTGCCCAGCGCGGCTTCTTTTACAGAGCAATCAAAGGATGGAACAATCTTAGCATTGACACTAGATCTGCGCAATCGTTAAGATCATTTAAAAGGCTTACGAGGGCTGAAATAGGCCAGAAATAGGACAAGCTATTATATTTATTTYATTAGTTTTCATTATTATTAGTTAATTGTAGTTTGTAAATTAATTCTGAAAAGGCCTACGGGGAGAATTGATGATAAAGTATTGTATTGTAAGACGATTCATAAGCGATTATTTATTGATCTGCTAACATCTTAGTGAGTGAGTGAGTGACACATTTGCATATTTAATCCCCTCACAATAACTCGCTTCTACGTTTCGCGTATCCACGAGTTTAAAAGTATAGCACTTTGCAATACGGGAGTACACAGGAAGCCCGAGTACAAATGGCGTCTTATCAGCTGTCTGTCACCAAAAGACAATAACATGAATGTTATCATATCAGGTCTTCTGGCCCCTTGCATGTGACAAGCAGCACAGAAACTTCTAGACGAACCCATCACTTATAGCCTTGATTTGTATATGAATTTGAATCAGATCATATATCATAACACACTGTTTCGAAGATAATCTGTTTCCATGACAACAACAAGAGTTGGACAAGCAAAATGTATACAAGCGCTCGGAATAAAACGAGTGTCTGTAAACAGTCTAAGAATAGCAGAAAAGCCTAATATAGCGGTGTTTTAAAGTGTTTATGAAACCAAATGTTCGACCTCCGTGTTATTTTAAAACAACAAAATTTAACATTTTCCGAGTATCGTGATGCTATTTTTTTTGGAATTCAGTGTAACTAAATAATTTTTTTTCGCCTTCGAAAATCAGTCATTTGCACCAAAAACTGT